ACGCACACACACACACGCGCACACGCACACACGCACACGCGCACGCACGCATGCACGCACGCACACGTGCACACACGCACACACTCACACACGCACACACGCACACACGCACACACGCACACACGCACACACGCACACACGCACACACGCACACACGCACACGCGCACACACGCACACACGCACACACGCACACACGCACACACGCACACACGCACACACGCACACACGCACACACGCACACACACTGGTCAAGCCGTGCATACCCTCAGAGTCGCCGAAGCTGGCGAGGCAAAACTTGCATTGATCGCGGAAGAAGGCGTCTCGAAGAGATCGAGGCGGAGGCTTTTCGGCATCTCGGGGCACTTACTGTGCCTTCGGACCGTCCGCAAGTCAAGCAGTGGCGAAGCGTCCTGGCCTGCCTATAGGCCCACTTCTAGAATGTTCTAAGAACCGTGTGTGGTTTGCACGGAATGTTCTCAGAACCTTTTGGTTGAGACCGTCTTGTTTTAACGCATCGGCTTAATGCTTTAATACATTGTTTTCTGTTCTTAGAACATTCGTTTGTTCTAAGAGCATTTCGTGGCAGGCCAATAGGAATGCTGGGACGGTCTGTCCCTGCTCACACGGAAAAGCTCGGGGCGAGGGACCGGTGCCGGGGAAGTGGTCGAGGGTCGGGAGCTCGTTTGAGACGCCGGATTTCTGGGTAAGTTGTCGGAGCCCCAGGTCATCAGGGCTGGGGGCAGTCAGGGGTACCCGTCGGTCGTTGAAAGTAGGTAGTTGTGGATTCCCAGATCCCAATCTACGTGAAGTGCCTTCCTACTTCAAGGATCGAGATGCCTCTGCTGTGAGAGACGCCGGCTGTCTGGGTAAGCTGTCAGAGCTCCGGATCATCGGGGCTGGGGGCGGTTAGTTACGTTGCATTTTCGGGGGACCTCGTTTGTCCGCAACATTGGTGTTTTTTCTCGCGCCCGACGCGGGCTCGATGCTGATTCGACGCGGATTTGACCTTGATTCAACACGGATTCGACACGGATCCGACGCGGGTTCGGCAAGTCCGACATGGTTTCGACACGGATTCGCATTGATAAGGGCGCTCCGGGACAGACAAGGTCCCCCGAAGATGCAACATAAGGTCAGGGGTAATCATAGATTCGTGCCTCGCGGGCCCGGACCGGAGTTGTCCCGGATTATTCAGGCGGTCAACCATTCCCGAATCATCAGTGTTGGGGTCGGTCAGGGGTAGCTGCTGGTTCGCGCGTCGGGGGCCCAAACTGGAGTTACCCCGTACCAGAGTTGTCCTAGATAACGCGGGCGTCCCAAGTTGGGGAAGCGTGAGACTCGAGTTCGCCAGAACTCGGGTTTGCCGCCGCTCTCTGACTGGCTTGTCTTGGATGTTGACGGTCCAGTTCTCGTTGGATGTCTGCAGTGGGAGATCGCGTCCGACTTCAGATTGGGTCTCGTCATTTTCTTGACGGCCCCGTAAGGCCAGCCCGAGTCTCACGTCTCCCTGGCTCGAAGAGGAAAACCTGCATACGCATAGACTTTCGGAGCTCCGTGCGGATCTCTCGGACCTGCGCTGGCGAGGGCCCCCCCCGCTCCGTGCGCCAGGGAAGGGTCCAGCGCCGATCCAGGAGATCCGCGCGGAGCTCCGGACTCCGCACGTCTACGTACGCATGCCTATCCAGGAGGGGGGAGGAGGAGGAGGAGGAGGAGGAGGAGGAGGAGGAGGAGGAGGAGGAGGATGCCTATGCATGCAGTCTTTCTCTGTCTCCTGCAGGCATGCGCGACGCCCGCCGTCGAGGGTTGCCAGCCAGAGCACCCGGCGTCGCAGAAGCTCATGGCCTTCCGTAAGCGCCACCTCAGGGCGGAGTGCCGCCGGCGCGGGCTCGACGACGAGGGCCGCAAGGAGGTGCTGGTGGCCGCGCTGTGCTGGTCGGACGACGCCGCCTGCTCCCCAGGCTCAGCGTCGTCTATTTTGGATGCAACTCCTGGGAGGTTCAATTCTGTATCGGCGCTCGTTTTTCGCAGTCGATACTTGTGTTAATATGGCAAGATTCGGCTTCATCCCGCTTCATCTGGCTTTGTCCAGCTGAAGTTCCGGTTCAGTCGGGCTTAATCGGCCTTGACCGTTCTAATGTAAACCTCTCAGGAGTTGCCCTCGAAGTCAAGTCGGCACGTTTCCGTCCTCACTGGGCCATGGTACCCTGAGGCTGAACATTTTTCGCACCAGGCGTTTTCGCTCACTGACGGGCGCTGGGACCTTCACATATCGATCCGGCTCTGGTCGTCATGTTTTGCAAGGTTCAAGTGTTTGCAGCGTCGGATCTGGTCTCAGGGTATCTCAGCCCCGCCAGCCCACCCCCCAGTTGGGGATAGGTCCCGCGAAGCCCGAAGGGAACAAAATATAGAATCCCATCCAGGGGGGTGTATCGGCCAGTGTGGCCAAGGCCACGACATATGGGAACCAGACATCCAGCGTCTAGATTGTTTCTGAGACACGGGCTCCCGCCCTCTCGACCACTTCCTCGGGGCTGGTTTTCCATGCCTCAGCGTAGGCCCAGTAAGGGCTCCGAGATGCCGAAAACGATGAAATACCTCTGTCTCGATTGTTTCCGAGACGTCTAACGTCTGGGGCTGGGGATCGGTTAAATTCAGAGGCAACGATAGGGAGGGATAGGTTCAAGGGGGAACGCATCGACCCTCAATCGCCCATTGATCGTTGATAGGGGTCTGGTCGCTTCACCCCGCCAAGGAACGTGCGAATTCGATGTCGGGGGCCTATCGGCGGTATTATACATATATATATATATATATATATATATATATATATATCGGTAATGTATCGCCGATTCCAGGTCGATGTTTCCCCTCCTGAGCCAGTCCCCCCCTATCGTTGCCCATCGTATGACAAACGAGCAGCACACACCCATACACATAGGGGGGACAGAGGGGGGCCATGGGTGCGTGTTCTCGGTTGGGGCTTCCCGCTCGAATGGGGGCCTCCCCGCGGGAGCCTCCCCTGGGGTCAGACAGCCCGCACCCATACCCATGACAGTCCTCCTCTTCCGACCCCCCTACGTGCGTGTGTTGTTCGTGCGCCATCATCAGCGATGCCCACAGGCTCCTCGTCCACGGAGCTGCTGCCGCAGTCGCCCTGCGGGCAGCTGTCCGTGGCCTCGCCGCGGCCGCCCTCCGCGCCGGCCCCAGCCCCAGGCCAGACGCCGCGGCCGCGCTGCGCTCCGGCCCCGCCCCTGGGCCAGCTGACGCCTCCCAGGCCGCCCTCGCAGGTGCGCTGTGGATTTTTCAAAGATGAGGCCCTGCCTTGTGGGAGGGGCTCCTGTACCCAGACATGCTCGCGTCGTGGAAGAATTAAGACGTGGGGGGGGGCTCGGCTGTTTTCGGTCTCTGGGGGTCCCCGCCGAGCCCCAGGACCGTCAAGAAACGATTCGGGATGAGGGGCTGGCCCTTGGGATGGGGTTGGGGACCGTGTGTTGACACAATCAGGATGCTGCATGCTTGCGCTGAACCCCGCGTGGTCCACCTAGACCTGGCTCGATCCTGGGCCGAATTTGTCCTTATTCAGCTTAATAGCCCGTTCTTTGGGCGCAATCACCCTTAATAATCGTTTTCACAAAGACCTCCCAGGAGTTGCTTCCCATCCTTCATTCCCGGACATACGATGCCCCGATTTTTCCAGTACGGGGTTCCTGGAAGTCTCAACCCCCTCCCCTGGGCTTTTTTTTCCCTGAGGAATGATTCCCAACCCTCCGTTGCCGTTGGGGTCTCGTTTTGAACAGAGCACTGTGGTCGCGTTCTTCCTTCTCCTCCTGGCACCTGTGCCGCTGGGTGCCCTCGTGGCGCCCCAGGAAAACAGGCGGGTTGGCAGCCCGATTGTCACCACAGCTCGACGGGGCTGTGGGAGAGACTCTTGCCCTGTGGTTGGCCAACCACAGGAGGTGTGGGCCCGCCGTACCACCCTTGAAAGGCCCGATGGGGAAACTCGAAGGGGTCACCCGACGGGGGGGGCGGGAACTTAAGTCCTTGGGCAGCGGGGCCTCCGCTGCTTGAGGCCGGCGGCCAAGTGGCGTGGTGCCGGTGGCCGTGTCTCGTGGTGGCATCTCGAGGCACCTCGCAACGGCGGCGCAGATGTGACGCCTGGGGCGGGTCTGTGCCGCCTTTCATGTGGCGAGGTCCGACTGCGTGTGAATTCACGCAGGCACCTTTGGCACCTCCCTTCGGGTTGTGTCGCCCGGGTCTTCTGTCCGGGCAAAAAAAACCTTCCTTCTCCTCCTCCCGCCTCCTTTTTGTCTCTCTGTCTCTCTCTCTATGTATATTTCTATTTCTCTTTCTCTTTTTTTTTTTTGTTTTCTCTCTCTCTCTCTCTCTCTTTTTTTTTTTTTTTTCTCTCTCTCTCTCTCTCTTCTTGTCTCGTACCTGGGGCTGGGAGACTGCGATCTGCGAAGTTGTCCCCGCTTTCGAGGGCTGCTGGGGGTGGTCCAGCGGAGCGACGTCTTACGCAGATCAGAGCGGGTCCTTGCCGTCGCTGGGGGGCTGCGACCTGCGAAGGTGTCGCCATTTTCGAGGGCTGCTGGGGGGTCCAGCGGAATGACGTCTTTCGCAGATCAGAGCGGGACCTCGCCGTCGTTGGGAGGCTGCGCTGACGAGGGTTGCTCGTGGGTCCTGCGGAGTGACGGCTCACGCAGATCAGAGCGGGTCTTCGCCACAGGGATCTCATTAATCACCTTCATTAATTGTCCCCATCGATCGTTGCCCTTCGAGTCGCGCGACTCGCGGGCCTCCCAAGTAACACTCGCAGAACATATTCTTCCTTGCCACGTTATCACCCCTTTGAAAGTCCACCCAGCTATTCCGGCCACGCGTTGTGCAGTGGTTGGGTGCGTCGCCACGGTCATGTTTGGATGGTCCTCGGGCCCAGCGGGGGCCGCCAGATGCAGAAACTGGCCAAAGATCTCCCGTCGTGTTTTTTTTTCGTTCGCGACGCGAGCATGTCTGGGTCAGGGCCCCATCCCTCGAGACACGGGCCTCCGACTTCTCGACCGCTCCCCCGGGACCCGCTTTTCATCCCGAGTCGCCTTTCGACGTTCCCCAGGCCCAGGGAGGGCCCCGAGGGGCCGAGAAAACTGTGAAACGCCTCTGCCTCGATTTTGTCCGAGCCGCCGGATGTCTGGGCAAGTGCCCCCCCCCCTTCGGGGGCCCCGTCTCCCCAAGCCTCTTAGATGGGGTCGGGGTAGATGGGGTCGGACGATCGCGCCGTATCGTCGATGCATCGGCGGTGCGGTTCGATGTGGAGCCCGATTTTCTTTACGCTGGCGTCGCCGATGCGGCGCGATCCTCCGACCCAATGTGCACCGAACCCATCTCGGAGGTCACTCGTCTTCGAGCCGCCGAGGTGTGCAGGCCCCGCGCGGCGGCCGCCGTGGTGCTCGCCGGGGCCCTCCCCCCCGCAGCAGCTCCCGCGGGTCGCGGCGGCCCTGCGGCCGCCCGCGCGGAGGCCGAGGCCTCGTCGGGCGGTGCGGCACACGCGACAACGTCGCGTCGTCGGGCGGGGAGGCGTCGGTCGTCGTCGGGTCGGTGCTCACGGCGGGGGGGTGGAACAAAAGGTACACGTGGGTCGTTGAAGTCAGCGTTTTGGGATGCCCAGGTCCCGGTCTACTCGAGGCGCCGTCCTACTTCTAGAGTCGAGTGGTTTTCCCTCGTCCGTCCTCTTCAGGGGGCGGGCGGGAGGCCAAGCTGCCTTCCTGCGTCATGTTTCTACCCACGTCTTCTGACCGACGGGTGCTGATTCCGCCGCCGCCACCCTTGCCTCGTTGTCGCCCTTTTGGGCCTCCTGGGGGCCTTCGTCGCCACGGCTGGGTTGTCGCCTCGGAATTCTGGTCAGAGAGAACCTCAAGAGAGGTCCAGGGAGTAGCGGTGTCGGTACCTTTTGGTTTCTCCAGAGCAGGGGTCAGCCAATCCCCTCCGAGATCCTTTGGCTGACCCGTGGTCGGTTCCACCCCTCTCAGACATCGAGTGTTTCGAAAAAATCGCGACGGAGGTTTTTTCAACACCGTCGGCCTCTCTGGGCCCCTTACCGTGCCTCGGGACTGTCTGAAAACGACTCGGGATGAAACACGGGTCCCGTTGAAAGTGGTCGAGAGGTCGAGGGCCTGTGCCTCGAACCGAAATCTAGACGCGGGATCTCAAAAGGCTCGATCAGAACGCTTGCGTGTAGGGGACTGGGTACCCTAGTCCCTAGTGTGCATCATAGGTTCGGCTGTCGCCGAAAGTCGGGGGAGCTCCTCGCCCCCTGGTGGCGTTTAAGGGGTCCTATGCCGCTGTGCCTTCACCGTGGTATCACCCACAAAAATCGAGACGCCGGAGGTCTGGGCCGAACCCCGCTCCCCTGCCATCCGCTGACCCAGGCTTGGGAGCTTACGTCTGCTTCGTGGCCCGCGCGGGTTCGCGGCGTGACCCTGGCCGACCCGGGCTGTGCGCCGACCCTGGGTATAGTGTATATCCCGGCGGTGGGCGAGGGGTGGAAGTGAAAAGGATCAAGTTTTCTCAGAACGCTCGGAAGTCCCCCGGCCATCTGAGAAGTTTTCTAACAACTTCCCCGGCAAACAGAACAAACCTGTCAGAAAGCGCGAGGGCTTCTGAGAAGCCCCGCCGCCTTCTGAGAATGCCTTCTCCTTCTCGCTCCCCCACATCGCTCGCCGCCTGATTTCTAGTGCGTCCCCGAGGACGGTGTGGCGGGGCAGCGGCCGCGCGCGTGCGGCAGCTGCCGAGGCAGGAGCAGGACCGGGCCCGTGCTCGATACGTTTTGGAAAGAAGGGGCACGAAAACGAACCACAGTTCTTGTCATCGAGGACAAAAGAACCCCTAACTTTAATTACGCGATGAAGACGTGGGTGGCCTCAGTGAAGTCCCCGTCTTCGCTGATGGGATCGTCAATCTGGGCGGCTTGGTCTCGTACATCTGCCGACAGGACCCCCTATCCCCACTGTTCTCGGTCCTCCTAACCTAGGTCCCCTCCGAAGAGGGTTTGGGGTACTTGTGCTGCTTCTCATCTTGTGTACTTTGAGCAGGATTCGCCGTCGGCGTCGCCGCAGAAACTATCCACTTGAGACAAGTGGACATTTGCCCAACCGCGGCCGTCGTCGGTTCTGAATGGAATGTATCGTTGGGCGCTGTATTTTTTTGGCCGTAGCCATCTCGGGCGTCCAAGCGTCCAAACAGACGTCTTCGCGTTGTGGTAAGAAGAAGAAGCGCAGCCATAGGGCTCTATAGGCTTACGCCACATCCGCCGCCCCCTTGTTTTTTTTTTTTTTGGGGGGGGGGGGGCGGGATCTGTAGAGTGCCGCATTGAGAGCGCAAGGAATGCGGGCGTCATGGGTGGGCGCGCGTCCCGGATATCCCCGACATGGAAACGCTGAGACACACGTGGGCTCTGGTGCGGAAGGAGCGCCCGAGGAATCCGAACTTCCATGGGGCGCCGCAGCCGAAGCACGGGTCGGGAGAAGAAGAAGGGCGGACCGGGCTCCTGTTGATGGCGGCTTTTCGAGCGTTTACGTTGCGGGAAGATGTGGGGCGTGGAGTGGCGCATCTGCGGGGTTTCCGCAGGACGCGCGGGTCGTCGGCAGAGGCGTCGTTGGAATGGTCGAAGAAAGGCATGCCGCGCGAAGAGATTAGAAGGTGCTTTCAGAATTACATGGGCGTCGTGGGCCAACGACCAGTCGCGGGCGAAGACCTGGTGCAGCATGAGGACAAGCTTTACAACTACGAAGAGTTGGACCCGATAATTGTCGGTGCGGTCGCGAGACGAAAGACGCGCGTCGGGGGCGCGCCCTTGGGGAGAGAAGACAGACGGATAAAGGCATCTATAGGGGGCGGAAAAAGTTCGAGTCGCGCAGCGATGACTAGGGGCGAGGCCGCGTGGGGCGGAGACCTGCGGCGGAAGAGCGGCTCGCGCAGGAAGTGGTGGTGGTGGGGGGGGCGGGATGTCGGGGCGGGGGGGCGCGGCAGCTCAGCGGGCGCAAGTGGCGGCTGCGGCGGTGGCGACGGCGAGAGCCCGAGACGGAAATGGCACTGGGCAAGCGGAGGGGGCCCGCAGGCGGCGCGGGAAACGCGACGTCGGCGTCCAGCGTGCGCAGGTGGGAAAACGAATTCGCGGAGAGTTGACTGAACGCGGGCCGACGTGGGGTCTTGGAGAGGGTGGCCGATCGGGTTCTGGAGCTGTGAAGGGGGGGGCGGGGCGGCGGCGCGCCGGCGCGGGGCCGCTCCTGCGGGTGCTCCACGGCGGGCCATGGATTGGGAAGAGCTTCGTCATGGACAAGATCCGGAAGGGTTCGAGAAGGAGATGGGGAGGGCGCGCGGCGTGGACTTTCAGGCGGCAGCGCTGCAGGCGACAAACGCGTCAGCCTTCCGCGGGAACGCGACCCGCGGCGCACTCGGCACGGGCGCGAGCAAGACGAAGGAGCCGATCGCGGGGGGCGAGGGATGCGCCGAGGCGAAGAAGACAACGAGAAAGGAGGTGGCCACGCAACGGATGTCGCAGTGGAAGTGGCTCACCGGTGACGAGGTGCGCATTTTGAGCACGAATCTCATTGCAGAGCTCGATTCGCACCTGCGGTCGCGCATGTCAGCAGCCAGTGTCACGAAGGTGGGGGCAGACGGCGGGGGCGGGGCGCTTGGGGGCGCGAGCGTGGTCTTCGGGGGGGATTTCGGCCGACTGGGGCCGCCGTCGGGGGCGGTGATCACTGCGCTGCCCGCGTTTTAACTGAAGCGCGCGAGGAAGTGCGCGCCGGGGGCCGCGGGGGGCCGCGGTCAGCGCATCTGCTGGGGGGTAGGGGGCGCACGGGGCAGAGCAGGGAATGGCGGAGTTGACCGAGTGCGAGCGCGCGGAGGAGCGGGGCGAGCGGTTCTTTGGGGCGCCGCGCGAGTTTCTTCGCGGAGCGTTGACGGAACGGGCGCGTAAGTTCTTGCGCGACAGGCCAGCAGGCGTGCCGGGGTCGTGGGTGAACGGCGCAAGGCAGCGCGGCAATGGTCGTGGTCGATAGAACGCTGAGGCCACTGCCCGGAATAATGGGGCTGAGTGCGAGGCGCGCGCGGCGGGGCGAGGGGGGGGCGCTCGTCGCGACGTTGCCGGGCGACGCGCGTTTCCGCGACGACAGATTCGTCGAGGCCGTCGCATGTTATGCTGATCAAGACATCAAGTGCCACGTCGGCAAGCAGAGAGCCGCGCAGTGGGCGCAGGGGCGAGGAGAGCAGGTGCTCTGGGTCGCAGCTAGAGACCGCGCTAGTCACGGAGGGGGAAAGAGGCGGCCATGCACAGTGGAGGACAACATGCGGCGGCTGGGGTAGCACGGCAAGGGGTGCGCGAGAATGCCAGGGCGGCTGCCGCCCGCAAAGGGCATGTCTGCGGCCCTAGGCGTCGCTGAGATTGGCCGAAGGAGCTGCTTCTGCGGGGGCGCGCAGCGACGATTCACGGGCGGCCGTTGCGCGAGGACGAGGTCGCGGGAGACGAAGACGAGGAAGCGCTGTCGCATTTGCCGCGAGCTATCGCGCTGGATTCTCGCACGAAGGAGTGGCACCTGCCAGGGCGGGGCCCGGGGGCGCATCCAAGTTTCCCGCCGGAAGGGCGCCGGTGTTTTTTTTGGGCGGGCGTCGGAGGCGTATAGCGTTGGGTGCAGAGCGCCTTCAGCACATGATCACGTCGTCTTTGGCATTTGCAGAACGATGGCCGCGCTCGGCGGATTATGAGAGAGGGCGCGGCGCCAGTTGGATGTCCAGTTGCGCGGCCATCGCGCGCGTGCGAGCACGGGGGAATTTGTGCAAATTCCAGCCGCTTCAAAGGAAGCCACGCAACGTGGGCGACGTGGCGGGGGCGGAAAACACTGTTGCAGGTTCTCCATGGGGGGCGCGTGGACTGGGAAGAGTGTGGAGCGGAACTAACGCCGCGGAATCTGGGGAACCTTCGCGAAGCATGACTTCCAGAAGAAGGACAGGCCGGCGTTCTGCGAGGAATGCGCAGAGGCAAGGATAAGCGCCGGGGGGAAGTGGCGCACCTAATGCAAAACAGTCGCAAAGTGGTGGGAGGGTCAAGGGCGGGCGCGGAAGGGGGCCAGCAAAGGAGACGCGGATGCGGCCGTCGCGGACGAGCCGAAACATATTCTGATCATGTCTTGCGCGAGACGCAGCCGTTCGCAAGCGCAGCAGAAGCCGCGGCGTGGCAGCGCGAAGTGGAAAGAGTGCGTAGGAGCGGCGCGGCGCTCGAACGGCAAATGCCCCCCGCTGTTCGAAGAGCGGGCGCCGTTGTCGGAAGCGCAGGAGAAGCGCAGTGCAACGGGGGAGAGGCTGCGTGCGGAGGAGCGGCACAAGGCGACTCTCGAGGCTAACAACCGCAAGCGGAATGTGTAGGCGGGAGCACGGCTGCTGATGCGTTGCGCGCCAGGATGCGGAGTGACTTTTGGAACACGGATAATATGAACAAGAACCAGGTGAAGAATCCCCGGGCGGCGATCGGAGTCAGGGTGGCGCGCGGGGCATGTGCGAGGCTGGGTGTCACTGCGAAAGGAATTGCTGATGCGGCAAAGCGGGGGATCAGACAATTGACGCGCGCGTCGCGCTAGAAAGAGTTCCCGCGGCAGGAACGCATCAGTTGCAGACGGGAGAGCGATCACTCTGCGCGGAAGGGTACAGTTGCATGTGCAGATTGCTTGGACCTCGGGCTCTCGACGCCAAGTTGGTAGGAGCGTAGGTGCTTCGCTATCTGCAACAGAAAACTCCCGAAGCGCAACTTTGTCGCTGGACCGCAAGTCGCGCGCCCCCACCAGGACGGCACCTTGAAGTGCAAGTCGCGCGTGCGAGGTCCGCTGCGGCGTTCGCAGCAGGGCGCGAAAGTATGGAATCAACGGGGGGCAGAACGAGGAGGGGGATGTTGAGGAGAAGGAGGAGGAGGAGGAGGATGAGGAGGAGGAGGAGGAGGAGGAGGAGGAGGAGGAGGAGGAGGAAGAGGAGGAGGAGGAGGAAGAGAGGAGGAAGAGGAGGAGGAGGAAAGGAAGAGGAGGAGGATATGGATGGCGAGGAGGAGGAAGACACGTGAACGCGTGGTCTTGGAGCCCGAAGGCATGCTTTGCGCGGCTGGTCGGACCTGTCGGGGATGATTGCGGCACCCCGAAGGTGATGGTTGACCCGCTGGATCTGCAGATTTTGCGAGCTCCGGGGGCGTGAAGCATGTCGTGGCTGTCGATTCATCCCAACATGGTTGCGGGGCGGGGTCTGCTAGGGGTTCCGTGGGGTGAGCCAGGCGAGACAGTGTCGGAGTCATGGGGGACGTGTGTTGGGGCGATTGCTAAATCAGTAGCTGACAGTTGCAGTGCGTCTCGCGCGCGCATGAGGGAACAAACATGAAACAACGTTCAGATACGGCGGACTTACATGGAAACACCACAGGAAGGATCCGCGTATAGCTTGCGGCCCATCCCGCCACCATGCCCGGGTTATGAGTGAGAGGCATCCGGATTGTTCGTCGGGTTTTCGTGGTGGGTTTGTCGGGGGTTTGTTCAAAGCAGGTCGGGGTCGTCTTGGTTCGTTTTGGGGCTTGTGTGGGGCGTTTTGGAACCCTTCGACGCCTCCGGGGATGGGCTTGTTTTAAGCAGGTTGGGGCCTCGTTGGGCGTCTGTTGGGGCGTCTTTGGGGCGACTTGGGGCCGAGGGCCCGAAATGTCCGTTCGGGGCTCCCGTTTGTGCCCCCTGTTGGAGCTGTTATTGGGGGCCTTTTGGGCCGTCTTGGAAGTTTCTGGAGCTGTCTTGGGGCCCTCCTGGGCCGTCTTGGGACCCTTTGGGGTTGTGTTGGGGAGATGTTGGGCCTTTGTCGGGGCGTCTCGGAACGTCGGGAAGACGACAGCGCGAGAGGCAAACCAGTTTTCAAAAACCAATGGGATAACTTTGACGTTTACCTTTTGGTGCCCTCATGGGCAGCTTCTGTGGCGCCTGTGGGGAGTCTTGGCGGCCTATTGGGTCCATCTGAAGCGTCTTGGAGCGGTGGTGGTTGTGGTGGTGGTGGTGGTAGTGGTTGCTGTGGTGGTAATCGTCGGTGCGTCCCTGCCGTCGCCGGTGCCAGCGCCGGCGCCGGCGCTGGCGCCAGGGGGGGGGGATTTGGACCCCCCCCCGTGGGCTGCGTCTGGTCATTGTCGCTGCGTCCCCGCCGTCGGCGCTGCTGGCGGCCGCCAGCGCCGGCGCCGGAGCCGTAGCCGAGGGGGGGGAGGGGTTTCTGGAGGGGGGGAGGGTCTGGGGGGAGGGGAGTCCCCCTGGTTTTGATCGACGGCGCCGAGTGTTGGGGGGGGGCTCACCCCCCGTTTCGAAACGCGCCGCCGAATGCTCCCAAGGCAAGCGCCTGTGAAACGCGCTCTCTCCAACATACGTTCACGCAGATTGCAGGAGCACGGTAGAGCAGCACGGCATGAGACAGCAGCGCTGTAGATCACCACGCGCGGACATCCATGCACATATTTCACGCATTCACGCACGCGCGCACACGCGTAAACGCACGCACGCCACGACATATCTGCGCGGCAGATCAACAAAAGAGCATGCATGCTATACATACCTAGTGGACAAAAACGACGTTTCCCGTTCTTGTCCAGTCAGGCTTCTGCCCATTTCGGTCTCCAGGGGCCCTCGCTGGGCCTCAGCACCGTCAAGAAACGAGTCAGGATGAAAGGCTTGTCCCAGGGCTGTGTCGAGATTTCTGTGGAGAAGTCATGGAGCCAGGCATCAGGGGAAGAAGGACCAGGTGTTGCTAAACGTTGTCATGGCCCAGCCATAAGATTTGGGCGTTGCAACTTTTCACAACGGGCGTTTTCGCTTGGTTTCGGTCCCCGGACCCTCAGAGATCGATCTGGCTCGAAGAATGGCGCAGAAAGATAAGGTCTAGGGCTCCGGTCGTGTTTTGTCGCGGCTTGTTTTTTTTCGCGGCGTCGGATCGCACGGTGTGTTATTAGATGTGGTCTTGGTCCAAGGTGTTCCTAGCTTTTCGCACCATTTGGCCGGGGGGCTCTGGTGACACACTTGGCCAGGGTCACCTTTGGCCACACCGGCAGGAGCCGGAGCCCCAGGCGTGTGGCCATGGCCTGCAACGGCACCATCCTGAGCGGCAAGAACAAGGGCAACGCCTGCCACGCGAAGCAGGCACTCACCAGGGGTAGGGTAGGCTCATGAGGGGATGCATCGACCCCAAGTTGCCCATTCATCGCCGATAGGGGCCCGATAGCAGCCCGCCCCGACCAGGAACGCCCGGATTCGGGGGCCTATCGCCGGCCAAACGGCGATGTATCGCCGATTCCACCTCGAGGCTTCCCCCCCTGAGCCCGTCTTTTCTTTTTCACTTCAGAGGAAGCAACACACCGATACCGATGCCTTTCCAGCCTCCCATGGGGGGCCTTCGTCTCGACGGTCGGATTCGCTTCAGAGTCTTGGTTAGAGTGCGGCCCGGGAGAGGTAAGCTGGGGCTGGCGGTCCAGTGTCGGTATTTTTCTTTGTGTTCCCACAGGCCCGCTTGGCGCGGCCCCCTGGCGCGCAGTTCTACTACTGCCCTGGGCACACTCGGAATTGGCAGCGCTTCGAGCCTGCGGCCGCGCTGTCCGGATGGGAGGAGAGGCTGTCGAAGAAGAAAGCGCTGCGTGAACGCACACTTTCGAGGCTCTGTGCGGACTTTTCAGATCTACGCCAGGCGCCCCATGGCGGCGTCTTCGTCGCGGCCCCTAGCGCGCCCTCGCGCGCCAGGGAAGGCGGCCCAGTGCCGGTCCAAGAAATCCGCGCGGAGCTCCAACTGTTTGTGTTTATGCAGTTTCTTCTTCTAGGCTGGCTAAGCGGGCAGAAGCTGTGAGCCTGAGACGTTGAGACGAGGTGCGTAGCGGGTAGAGGCTGGCCAGGGTTGTTCGTCACGCTTCTTTCCTGTTCGGGCGAGGAGGGGGGCGAGGAAAAGAGAGGAGGAGGAGGAAGAGGAGGGGGAGGAGGAGGGATGGAGGGAGGGCGGGAGGGAGGAGAAAGAGAAGGAGGAGGAGGAGGAGGGAGAGAAGGCAGGGGAGACGGAGGAGGGCGCTGATTAGTGCCTGCTGCTGCCTTTGCTGCCTTCGTTGGTCGGTACCCGCGGGTCGATGGTGGCAGTGGTTGCTCCTCGGGCGACGAAATCTATATATTTCCCTTGCCCCCTGGCCGGGCCCTTCCTGCGCCCAGGAGCCTTTGTATGCGCCCTCCTGGCGAAGCCAGGAGGGTGTGGCGTATGCACCGCTGCTAGGTTCAGGACTGGCCTGGTCAGGGAGCAGTGGGCATGTATAGATTGCGTCGCCCTAGCTCACCCGCTGATTCTGGCCCCGGCTGCATTGACGCTCTCTGGAGGTTCGTGTAGTGTAGGGTCGCATTGAGAAGATGAGGAACTTCCGACTCCGACAACAGGATGAGGACGAGGACCACAAGGAGGACGATTAGGAGAAGGAGCAGAAGCAGGAGGATGCGGAGGCTGGATGGATGCAGGCGAGAGGAAGACAGGACGGACGAGGATGTGGAGACAGGAGCTGTCTGCAAACCTCCGACCCCAGGAAACTTCCCTTCCTTGCCCCTCTCCTCCTCCTCCTCCTCCTCCTCCTCCTCCTCCTCCTCCTCCTCCTCCCTCCGTAGCCATTTTGGCTCAAGGCCAAAATGGTGTTCATTCACTGCCTATCTGGGGTAGGCTCCCACAGCTTTCGGTGCTTTTCGTATCCGCAGCCAAACTCACGGGCGAGCTGCCGCCCACTTCATATTCCTCCCTTGCGCTGCTCGCGAGAGCTCCCTGGGAAGCAGAGAGACGATGGCCGCCGCGGATCGTGGTGGAGGGACCGCCCCTGCTGACGGAGGAGCTGCCGCCAATGCTGGCGGCACGAGGCCGTGACGCGCACGCCCTGAAGGCGGACGAGGCTCGCCAGCAAGGTGCGCAAGCCAATGCACAGTCTGCAAGCAGTGCCGGTACCGATGGACATGGAAGGAAAAGTCCGAGTGCTTCTCTTGTGGCAAGCAGCTGGCTCCATCACCTGCCGAACACCGCCAGCCCACAGGGGCTTGGGCAGGAGCCAGCAAACCACCGCCGTGGAAGGAGCCGCCAGTGGCCGCCGCCCCTACAAGGGACGCCATCTTCGCCGCGCTCAGCACGCTCCTCAGCGACACCAAGCACGCCGAACTCATCGGCAACCTCAAGGACGCCCTCCAGCAGCCCGACAAGCCTCCGCCTGCCCGCACAGCCGAGCAGGTGCTCCAGTCGGCGCTGTCAGTCCTCACCGACAGGGAGAAGAAATTCCAGCAAACGGTCGACGACGTCGAGACCGCCAAGCAGTGGTACGACGACGCCGTGGACAAACAAGAGCAAGCCGCCCTTGACCTCGTCCAGGCACAGAACGCATGCGCCAAGGCACAAGCTGACCACAGTGCCAAACTCGCTGGAGCAGTACGCGGAGCACCACCTGTGGGGCCTCAGGAAGCCTTCAAGGTTGGCAGCTCAATGTGGGGCGACCTTCCATTTACGATGATGGCACCCGCACCCAGATGGAACAGTGGAAGCAAGAGCTCGACCAGCGCCTCGCCGAGCTCAACAAAGGCCAAGAAAAAGTGCGAGAGCTCCTACGCCAAGCCAAGGAGTCCACCACCAACCCTGCGAAGCGCAAGAATCCGAATGGGGAAGCACCTGCTGCCCAGCAACCTGCTCCTGAGCCTGGGCACCCTCCGCGCCGCCAGCTGAACAGCAGCCAGCCGCCGCGCCTGGAGGACAGGCACAACCTGGCACGCCAGGAGGATTTGCCGCCCCACCTGCTGAGCCACGTCAGCCTGGAGGCGCCCCTGGGCCCGCCGCAGCCGCCCCTGCCGCCGACAAGCCCTCCGAGGAGGACCGCGAGGCCGCCGCCGAGCTCATCGCCACCAACGCCAGGGCCAGGGAGCTGGCCTTCGCAGCGAAGGGCGTTGGCAAGGGCGCCACCGCGGTGCCAGCGGCAGCGGCAGGAGCCCCACCGTCGCTGGGGTAGCCGCAAGCAGCCTGCTCGGCTTAAGGGGCCTGGGATCCGCGCCAGTGGTCCGCCCGCGGCAGGAGCGCCCGCCCCTAAGCCCGAGCAGGCGGCGCAGATCCTGTTCGGCAGCAAGATCCTGGGGCCCGCAGGCCGCGAACTTCTGTCGCAACGCAGGGTACAAGTACCACCTCATAGCGCTAGCGGAGACGCACGTCGACGCGAACGGCCTCGCGGAGCAGATCGGCAAGCTCGCCGTGGACGGCTGGAAGCTCTCGGCCACGCCGGCGGTGGCTACCAACAAATCGGACAAGGGGGCCCATGGCGGCGAGTGGATCCTCACGCGCAGTAACGTGGCGGCGACTACGTTCGAGGGCTACAGGGACTACTATGTCAAGCGCCACAAGAGGCAGCCGTTCGTGGGGTTCACGCCGACGGTCCTCCACGCCAAGAGCGGCAACAGAGTCGTCGTGGCGGCGTACCTTCGCCCTGGCCTACGGGACCAAGGCGCGAACAGGGACATCCTGGTCTCCATCTCCACCTTCGTGGACATGCTCGCGGACCCGTGGATCATCCTCGCCGACTGGAACTACGAGCCGCACTGGTGGGGCAACAAGCCGTGGCTCACGCGCTGGAACGGCGCCATCCTGACCGACCCGAACTGCAAGGCGACGTGCGACAAGGGCTCGGGCTCCGTGTACGACTACGCGATCGTACGAGCGGACATCGCCACGCACATCGGGATCGAGGCCATCTACGACGTCCCCTGAAAGACCCACCGCGGCATCCAGATCAAGGTGGGCACCGCCGAGCCGTGGCAGTACATAGCTATAAAGGTTCCCAAAGCCTTCCCCGCGCGAGCCAGACCCAAAAAGGTCGCGGACCTAAGTGGCAAAAGGTCCAAGGCTCGCGCGGAGGCGTTGCGAACCAGGAGGGAAAGGCTACCAGAGCACTTGCGCGACGAGTTCGACGCCCTGCACGCCAGCCGCGAGACGGCCAAGGAGGACCCCACCCCCTTCGTCATCCCCCAGGAGAACTGGGACGACGCCGCCGACGAGGTCAGCAACTTCCCGGAGTTCGATGGCACACAGGTCGGCACCAAGGAGGGCAGTGGACACATCTTCCACAACCATGAGCCGAACCTCGCGGAGGACATCAACTCGAAGTACGCGCAGTGGATCGCGACCCTGGAGCTCGCCTTCCTGGAGACGCATGCGGCCCCCGTCGAGGACAGGGCTAGGTACCAGGGCAGGGCAGAGGGGTACAGGACCACCAAGCAGACGATGAAGGCGTCGCCTGGCATAGCGTACCTCAAGGACCCCGAGGCCACCCGGTGGCAGCACCGCAGCACCCTTGTCTTGAGGTACACCGCGCTGGTCACGAACGGCAAGGACCCCGAAGCCCGCCAGTACATCCACAAGACAGTCATGCAGAAGTTGGACGACCTAGAGAACCCCGAGTTCTCCAAGGAGCACTTCGGTAGCAAAACCGACCCGCAGGAGATCGAAGAGTGGAAGACCCAGCTCGCCACCCTCGAGTACTGCGACGAGGACGACCTGCACCGCATCAGCGCCACCACCATGGAGTGCACCCACAAGGCCATGGCGAGAGCTGCAGGTAGAGCGCGAAAACGGTACCTCGACTGGGCGAAGCAGGCGTGGAAGGAGTCACCAGACAAGCTGCACCGCGTGGTCACCGACCCCAAGGCGGCGCGCTTGGAGGACAAGCAGCCCCAGAGGACGGTGGGCGACCCATCCACGGTCATGAACCACTCCGCCGACACCTGGCGCTCCATTTGGGCGCCCGACAGCTACAACGCCAAGCAGATCATCAGCGCCTACGAGCAGGCCATGCAACTTGCGAAAGAGGACCCTCTCTCGCCCATCGAGCCGCAGCACATGCAAGCCATCGCGGGCACCGCCAACCCGAAGAAGGCGAGAGGGGTCGACAACATCGGCCCCATCGACATCCAGAGGCCCCCCGAGAAAGGGATCCAGGAGCTCGCCGACATCTACAACCACGTGGAGGCCAACGGACTGTGGCCGCAGCAGCTCTGCGCCACCATTGGGGCCATGGCCCCCAAGCCCGCAGGTGGAGAGAGAATCTTGGGCATGCTCCCCACCATCCCCAAGACGTGGGCCAAGGTCCGCTCCAGCGTCACCGACGAGTGGCCCATGGAGCTCGGGGAGTTCTGGGACACCGCCATCAAAGGCTCCAGCGCCTTAAGAGCAGCGCTGGTCAGGACACTGCTCGACGAGACGGCAGCGACCTTTGGCATCGCCTTCGCGACCTTGCTGATGGACGTAGAGAAGTTCTACGACTCGGTCTGCTACGCGCTCCTCTTCGACGCCGCCATCGGGGTGAACTTCCCCCCGATCGTCGTGGCGCTGGAGGTGCAGCTCTACCTGGCGCCCAGGTACTTGCGCATGCACGGCTGGGTCAGCGACATCATGGATGCCGAGAGGTCCATTGTCGCGGGCAGCTGCAATGGCGGCAAGCTCGCCAAAGTCTACCTGGGGCCGATCCTGCAGAGGGCCCACATTAACCACACCTACGCGGGCCTGTGGGCGTTCGTGGACGACGCGGTCGCGAGAACAGAGGGCCAAACCAAACAGGTCGTCAAGGATCTGATCGGCGTCGGCGCCGACCTTTGCTCCGGTATGACGGGCGCGGGGCTTCGAGTCTCGCCCAAGACCACCGTCGTCGCCTCCAACCAGACGATCGCCTACGCAGTGCACGACGGCCTCAAGCAGAAGGGCTACTACGTCAAGGTGGCCAACAGCGCGGTCGACCTCGGCATCGACGTGGGCGGCGCCAAGAGACGGGTCGTGGCCGAGGCCACCAAGAGGGCCAATACTGCGAGGAGGCGCACTCACCGCATCGTCGCCACGGTCAGGAAGCACGCCTCCCTCGCCAAGATCGCGAAGGGCTTGTGGAACACAGGCTCCAGGCCGCAGGGGACCTACGGCCACCAGATCATGGGCCTCGCCCCAGCGGCCATCCTCGACCAGAGGCGCCACGCCATCCAGGCCTCTGCGGGGAAGGTCCCTGGCCGCTGTCTCTCCACAGCCCTGGCCGTCGTCGTGAGGAAGAAGGACCCCGCCATCGAGCTCAGGCGCCAGTCGATCGCCGAGTGGCTCAACTTCTGGATGCAGTACCCAGAACACCACATGCGGGTCACGCAGGCGTGGGAACTGATCTACAACAAGTCGATCACGCGCGGCAACAAGAAGTGGAGGAAGGTCATGGGCCCCATCTCCGCCATCCAGGCCGTCCTCCTGGACGCTGGCTGGACCTGCCCGACGCCAACGGAGTGGTCACGACCACCTTGGGCAGGCGAGACCCATACCCAGGAGTGGCAGCTACCTCACAGTGGACAAGCCGACTGGGAGGACAAGCGCTACGACGTGGACCCTGCGGAGTTCGTCCACGAGTTCTGCCTGTCCCTCGAGAGGAGCCTCTGGAAGGACGCTGCCAAACATCCACATGGAGAAGGATTGCAACGGGGGCCCAGACGTCCACATAGTTGCCAACGAGATGGAGAAGTTCACGAGGAAGGGCCAGCACGACCAGTCGGCCCTCAACCTGTGCGTGGTCGCGGGGGCGCAATGGCCCAGAAGCCGACTCATCGAGACGGGGTACAACGCTACTCCAACCTGTCCGAGATGCGGAGAGGCCGACGAGACGCTCATGCACAGGGTCTGGCTGTGCCCCTGCAACCGCGACCACGAGGACTACACGGATTCTGACGCCCTGTTGCCCTCTGCCCTGGCTGGAGCAGAGGCTGCTCCCGCCTACTGGCTCCGTGGCCTGCCTGCGCGCGCTGACACGCACCCGCTCTTTGCTTCATTGGGGGGGGACGGCGGGTGGAGCTGGGTTGGGCGGGATTGGGAGGACTGCGTCAGTAGCGACGGCGCCCTCACTCTCTTCGGAGACGGTTCCGGAGGTCAGTACAGTGATGGCCCACGTCGCCGAAGAGTGGGGACCGCCTGTGCTGCTATGAAGTGCCTCCTCGGGGAGTGGGTCCCCATGGGGGGGATAATGTCGGGCCTCGAGGGCTCCTTTCAAACTGCGCCCCGCGCAGAGCTGCTAGCTTTCGCGCTCGCCCTAGAATGCTGGAAGGGCGACCTCTGTTTCATTTCAGACCACCTGCCGCTGTACGACGGATGGCGGACGAATCGACACTTGCGCCCCAGCGATGGCGTAAATCAGGACATGTGGGCACGAATTGCCAAAGCAATTCGTGCACGTGGCACTAGTCAGCTCACTGTGATCTGGGTGCCCTCACACAGCGAGGAGTCACCTGGCCTAGCCTCAGACCCTGTGCGATACTTTCACACTATCGGCAACGCGACGGCCGATGCATGGGCAGGTGTAGCGGCCCAACAGTCTTACGAGGCAGCGCTTGTAGGACAGGCCCCTCCCACTGACCTGCGCGATGCCCAGTGCACCCTCATCCGCAGGAGGGCGCGCCGTGCCCTAGCTGACACGCTTGCAGTTGATCCGTGGGTCGCGGAGCGACCCTCGCAGGCCAAAGGCCCGCGCCTCACCAAGCTGCAGTTAGCCATGCAATCGAGCCAGCACGCCTTTGAGCTCAGAGCGGGCAAGTACCTGTGCTCCCGCTGCGGGCTCACCACAGACAAGTGTAAAGTACGCCAGGCCTGTGCCACGCCGTGCACCCACCAGCCGCCTGTGCCGTCAGCCAGTGACCAGATAGTGCCAGTACAGGGCACTATCACCATTTCTGGGCGCGAGCTGCACGCCAGCCATAAGCTCCATTTCATGCAGAAGTACCGCCTGTACTTCTGCCGCGGGTGCGGCAAGACGGCAACCGAGGACCCACTCCACCTTGCCGCGCCCTGCACGGGAATCACCAAGAAAGGGCGCGATAATCTCGCCCAAATAGACAAATGAGACACGCGCGCCCACGCTGGGCGCGATGGCCTCACCAAGTTTCTGCGCGCAGCTACCCACGGCATGGCCGTGGAAGAAATTTCAGCTGCCTCGGCGCCTGCCGCTGCACGCGCCGCTCATAGTCAGGGCTAGGATGCACTTGGCATCGCCCGAACAACGCACCTGGGTGCGCTCGGTCTGTTCCTCTGTTTCTCTGTTCCTCTGTTCCTCTGTTCCTCCTCCTCCTCCTCCTCCTCCTCCTCCTCCTCCTCCTCTCTCCTCCTACTCCGACACCATTATCTTTGTCTTCCTCTCGGCCCAACACCGTCCTCCCTCCTACCCGGCCTGGTCCTCCCTTGTCGCGTGTTCGTTCGCAGTGTGAGCCCGAGCTGCAGCCCCCCATCCCGCTGTGGGTCTTCCGCCCTTGGGGCTGTTTCTTGATGGCCCGTCGCCCCAGGAGCGGCCCGCGGTGGCCGAACGCCGGCCGCCGAGATTGTTTTGTTCGTTGCGCCGGGGGGGTCCCGGGCGGGCCTGTGATGAGGACAGTGCAGACTGCTCGGGGAGCTTTCCAGAGCGGTCACGGGGTGGCCGCGCCGCCCGATGCGCCATCCGGACCCGTCAGCTTTCGGCGCTTCCCGATCGGTTTTCATGTGGATTTGTTCGAGTGGCCTGCGCCGTGCCGCCGGCCCCCCACGAGAGAGGAGAAGTCCACGGGGCGCCCAGCGAAGAGTCGCCGTTTTGGCATGGAGGTGTCCATGGGAGTGGCGGTCCACGCATACGCACACACAACACACACACACACAAACCTGCACAAACACTAACACGAACACAAGCACAAACATAACCACGAAATGCAAACACACACCTAAACACAAACACGAATCACAAGCACAAACACACATCACAAGCACATACACCCACACATACAGACACGAAAACAAGCACACACACGATACATTGCTTTCCTGGGCGGACGAGGAGAATGATGAAGAGGGGGATCACCCAGAGCAGGAGAAAGAAGGGGATGGCCGGGAGAACTGTCGCCATGTCGGGCAGCTGGATAGCGCGAGGTGCTTGTATCATCATGCAAAACCAAAGGCTGTCTCCCACGTGCTCGGCCCTCCGCGCATGGGAGCCTTCTCCACAGAAGTGCTCGGAAGAAAAAAAAGAAGCTGCAAATTGCAGTGCGTCGGGCATGGATCTCGAGCGAGTCCCGCCAGAGATGGGGAGGAGAGTAAAAAGGAGGAAATGGATGGGGTGGTCTTGGAGGGGGGCAGGAGGAGGACGCCGAGAACGTAACGGAGAAAGATTAGGAGGATGAGGAGGAGAACGAAGCTGCGTGGAAGTCTCCTGCGGTCTTCTCCGGAGCTGGGGGTCGCTTCGAGGCGTCTGGGGCGCTTCTTGGAGCCTTTTGAGGCCTTCTGGGGGCGTCTTGGTGCGTGCTGGAGGCTTCTTTGGGGCCTTTTGGAGATCACGACGGGGGGTTTTGGAGGCGTCTGGGGCCGTCTCGGGGCTCTCGTGGACTGTTTCGGGGTCTTCTTGGATGCTTGTCGGGCCGTTCTTTCAGACCTCTTGGGCCGTGTTGGGCTGTGGGAAGCTGGAGCAAGCGAGAACACGAACATCTACGACATCTCCTTGTGACATCAATGTTTTGTCAGCTCTCTTGGAGGTTCTCTTGGAGCCCTCGTGGGGCGTCTGGAATAGGGCGTCTTGGGCAGTGTTGCGGCCAAACCGGGTCTTATTGAGGCCGCGTGGGCGCGTTGGAGCCATTCCGACGCCGCCTCGGTGCATCGTGAACGTCGTGCGCATGTGGAGGTTCCGAGGGCCTGGGAGGAGCGCCGAATAGCTCGGGGGGACCTCCCCCCCTCCCTTCCAGCGGCATTCTGGACTGAGGGGAAGGGGGGAGGGGTCGGCCAGTCATCTCGCCCTCTTTTTCTTCCCCAGCAAGCGGGGTCGGCGGATCCGAAGTTATCCTCATCTTGCCTTCGTCTTCAGGGTCGGACTCTCGAGGAACAACGAACTGCATGAGCGCCAGGGGG